TTTATGCGACTTTACAATACACACAGGCAGAACAATCAAAGGTAATCTCCCAGAGGTTGTCAACAAAGACAACAAAAACAGAATGTTCTTTCTTATTGACATCGCAGTCCCTGCAGATTGTAATGTATCTTTGAAGACCTTAAAAAAAAACTAACAAAACACAAGGATCTTGATGTTGAAATCTTAAAAATGTAGCATATGAGAACAACAACAATTCCAATTATAGTTGGAGCCCTCAGTTTAATTAGAAAATGTTCCGATAGATTCATTGAAGGAATCCTTGGTAGCCCAAGCCTTGAAGAAATACGAAAATTTTTTATTCACAAGTACAGATCACACATTACGAAGAGCTTTATCTTTGTAAAATGTGTGTGATCTTTGTTTTTTTTTTATTATTATCAGTTAAAGCTATTTCTGAGCTTAGGTCTCTGGTTGGGACCCGGTAAGAAATGAGTATACAACAGAAATGAAAGGAAAGAATATCTTATGTTATTTTTTTCTTTTTTATTCGTATTTCGCCCTCATCGTTCTCTTTTTCTTCTTTTTTTATCTTCTTCACTTTTCCCTCCTTTTTTTACCAAACCTCTTTTCGTTTACTCTTTCTCTTTTCCTCGTCTTCATTTTCTTTCCTTCTTTTTTTTTTTTTTTGCCAAATCTCTTTTCGTTTACTCTTTCTCTTTTCCTCGTTTTCATTTTCTTTTCTTCTTTTTTTTTTACTACACCATTTCTCTTTTAATCTTTCTGTTTTCCTCTTCATTTCTTTTCTGCTTTTTTTTACCAAACCTCTTTCCGTTTACTCTTTCTCTTTTCCTCGTCTTCATTTTCTTCTCTTTTTTTACTACACAATTTTTCTTTTCTTCTTTCTCTTTTCTTCTTCATTACTTTTCTCCTTTTTTTTTTTGCCAAACCTCTTTTCTTTTATTCTTTCTCTTTTCCTCTTCATTTCTTTCCTTTTTTTTTTACCAAACATCTTTCCGTTTACTCATTCTCTATTCCACTTCTTCATTTTTTTTCTTCTTTTTTTGCCTAACTTCTTTTCTTTTACACTTTCTTTTTTCCTCGTCTTTGTTTTCTTTTCTTTTCTTTTTTTTTACTAAACCATTTTTCTTTTGATCTTTCTCTTTTCCTCTTCATTTCTTTTTTTCTTTTTTTTTTACCAAACCTTTTTTCGTTTACTCTTTCTCTTTTTCTCGTCTTCATTTTCTTTTCTCCTTTTTTTTTTTACTATACCATTTTTCTTTTATTCTTTCTCTTTTCTTCTTCTTCATTTTTCGACTCATTCCACCTCATTTTTCTTCTTTATTTTTCTTTTTTTATCATCCCTCTTTTCTTTCCTCTTTTTTCTTGTTACCTTTTTTTTCCCATCGTCTTGTCCATTTTCTTTGTTTTTCTTTTCTTTTTCATCATTTCCTTTTTTTTTCCTGGTTTTCTTCTCCCTCTTTGTTCTTCTTCCGCTTTTTCTCTCCTTTCCTCTTTTTTCTTCTTCTGTTTTTCTTTTCTTTTCTTCTTACACTTTTCATCTTATTCCCTTTTTCTTCCTTTGCTTTCTTTATATCCTTTTTTTTTCTTTCTCCCTTCTTTACACTCTCCTCTATTTTACTTTTTTCTTTCATTTTCCTCTTTCTTTCTTTCTTTCTTTCTTTCTTTCTTTCTTTCTTTCTCATTTCGGTTTTTTCTTTTCTCCTTTCTTCCAGATGACGTTGTAACATCTGTTCCCGAACGATCACCAACGTTAAGCATGATCGGACCTAGTCATTAATTAGATGGGTGACTATTTGGGAATACCAGGTGCTGTAAGTTCGGATGTGCGGGTGGTACATTGAATAATGGCTCAGAATTCTTAATCGGAGAGCCGAGTTCTAATCCTCATTGGGTTCGTTATATTCACATATGTGCAAATATCCTTGGGAAAGGTATGAATCCATCTCTTCTCGTCCCAGCTGTGGGTTAATTAGTAACACTTGTACAGTTGGATCTCGGTTCACGAATTTAATTAATTCCTGAAGGCCGTTCGTAACCCGGAATGTTCGTAAACCGAAACTATTTTTCCAATAGGAATGAATGTAGAGAAAAAAAGTCACATTACAATAAAATTAGGAAAAAGGCACGTCACAACTCACGAATGTATACAACACGGCGGTCGACTCAGAAATTATTCCGTCCGGGATAACTCGGTTCGGCTATGTTGTTCGAGAACCGAAAGTTTGTTCGATAACCGAAGTATTTTCATCTCGAATTTTCTGTTCAGAAACCGATTTGTTCGATAACCGAGGCATTTTCATCTCGAATTTTCTGTTCGAAAACCGATTTGTTCGATGACCGAGGTATTTTCATCTCGAATTTTCTGTTCGAAAAACGAAATTTTGATCGATAACCGAGTTATTTTCATCTCGAATTTTCTTTTCGAGAAACGAAATTTTGTTCGATAACCGAGGTATTTCCATCTTGAATTTCCTGTTCGAAAACCGATTTGTACGACATGTGAGATGTCCGAGAACCGAGGTTGCACTGTATAACTAAATCATTATTATCTAAAAAAAAAAAAATATTTTCAAATCAAATATTATTTTCTGGCTTTAAATAACCTACAAAGGCCGTAGAAAAGCCGTAGAAAAAGAATTACTCTTTTCCTATTTAATTTCTCTCCTTTTTCTTTTCTTCTCTTTTTTTCTTTCTTTTTCTTTCTTTCTTTCTTGTTTTCATTTCATCTCCTCTTTTTTTTCGTCTTTTTCTTTGTAAAAATGCAAAGACAGACGGTATAACCCCGAGCAACACAATACGGAACGCTTGAAAATGTTCTAAATAAAATGAACAGTCAATTACTGATGAGGACACCGTTTGTAAAACTTAATTTTGTTTATTGTCGACTATATGCATTTCCCTTTCTCACCCAGACACATTCGACCGCAATGGCGCACGATCTTTTCCTTTTTTTTTCCCCTCTCTGGCTGCCGAATCCCCTGACCAGAATGTTCTTTCAACGTTCGTTTTGCTGATGAAATCTATGTGACCCTGACGGCTCCATAAACCAACCAAGCGGCTCTGTTGTTTCTCCATGACACCGGAAAGCGTCACAGACACACCAGCGAATCATGGGAAGGAGAGGTTGAAACTAACGAACCTAGTCGCGTGTTTACCATGTGACCGAGTTGGCAGAATATAATAATTCAGGTTCATCGGTTGGGCCGAGAAAGGAACGCAATCCATTCCCCACGCCTAACAGCTAGGGAAACGCTGCAACATGACAATGAAACTAGCAACACGAATCAGTTAGTGGCAAACGTGAACCATCGTGTCCGAAAAAAAAGTTTTTTTTTCCTTGACGCCGCTATTATTTTAACTACCTTCGCTCCTCGGCAATGTTTATTGTTTTAAAAAGCGATGATTAGAATTGTAATAAAGCCTAAACATATATAAGGGTGTTTCATTAAGACGGATCAAAGTCAGCTGTTAGTAAATATGTGTTATTGGTGAAAATTTATTTATTTCTCTATTGGATCATGTTATTTAAGTCATGGCAGTTATATGCGAAAAATAAGACTTTAGCGGCGCACATCCACTCGATGGTCAAAATATTTGATAACGTCTCTGTCATAGTTGCCCCTCGATCTCACCAATACGCCTTATTATCTCATCCTTCAGCTGTTGAATTGTTGTTGGCTTGTTGGCATAGACGTTATTTTTTAGATGACCCCAAAGAAAGAAATCTAACGGCGTCAAGTCGCACGATCGCGGTGGCCAATTGACTTCGCTGTTTCGAGAGATGATGCATTCCTGTTTGAACGCCCATAATAGGCTTCGATAACTTTAACAAGGTATTTCATTGTTAATCTTTCCATGGTTGAAATTGCCAAAGACTTAAGTTGTTAAATATGAAAGAAAAAGAAAAACAATCATTAGACGCTTAAACTTAATTCACATTTAAAATCGATCCAAATTATTGGAACACCCTTTATTACTTTATTAAATAAAATGCGACTAAATCAAACAGTTTTCCCAAATAATAATGGCAGTAATAACAATGATCTTTATATTTATCAGCACGGCTAATTGAATAAAAAGCAGAGTTTAAAGTGGTGATCCCATGTGAAAGACTTACTGGGATCAAGGTCTTAAAGTAGTACAATCCTCTTGGTACTTACCTCTTTAGAGATGCTTCAGGCACCAAATAATAACCCTGGCCCTTTCCCGAGGGAGAGATATTGCCAAGAGAGACTGGACGCTTCTTAGGCCAAAAGAAATAACTAATTAGTTCACAAGTTCTTGTTCAAATCGGTCAAGTGAGAATTTTGTTTGAATTTTGAAAAATTATAAATCCACGAAATTTTCTGTTAAAAATAAAGTCCTGTTAGCAAAGTGATTTCCCCATTAATCACATTAACATTGCTATTTAATTCTCTGTATGAATTGTTTCTTTATGATATAAAATATAAGCTGCACACTAATAAATTTAACACGTTGTTTGATTGTTAAGAGTGAGAGCCAATAGCTGGCTGCCACGAATAGACAGGAAGATTATATTGGCCAGCGTGAGAGCCAACAGCTGACTGACACGAATGTTAACTAGCATGCAAAAAAAATCGATAGCTTCATTCGTCACAAGTGGGAAAAATTTAAATCTGCATAGCACTTTACTCCAATTGACTCATTCGTTTGCTTAAACTCAACGTGGATTCTGATTCCACAGAACTGGGTTGGATGTGAAAAAGTATTTGTTGTTAACATTCTTTTTTCATTCGTTTTTTCCAGTTACAAGTCCTTTTTTAAAGCTGATCGTTTTGTGTTCATTTTGTTTAGTTATTTTTTTTAACAGATTTAATGTTTAGTATAGAGCTTGGAAAAAATTCGCAGTGCGAGATAGGCAAGAAGTAAGGCATGTAGCAACATCAGCACGGCAAAGGGCACTCCTTTAAAGGCAAGGAAGGGCAAAAATATTTTAAGTCAAGTGATAGCGATTGCTGTATGAGTCGTACGATTTTTGAATCAAACACGAGCAACGCCGGGCCATGCTGCTAGTTAAATATATTCCCAATGATTGTTATATTTTTAATAACAAAATATGTTAGATAGGATGATGTTTATATTACAATATTACAATAATCAAGAATATATTGTGTGTGTTTAGAAATATTACGTATATGAAATTAAAAAAAAAAATCAAAAGTTCATTAGCTTATTTCACCTGTTCCCATGGAAACCTTGGGGGCCCTTTTGCAGAACTTTAGGGTTCTGGAGAACCCCGGTTGAGAAAGGCTGGCATAGAGACACATCACACTAATTCCCATTTTTACTTTTACTTTACGATCACGTGATCTATTTATTTAATAATGAAATCGTCCGTGTTTGCTAACTGACGATCTGAGTTCAAACTACAGTGTCGACAAAGATAATTTATTCCTATACAACGCCTTATTGAATTTTCATCAATATTTTCACCTCAAAATTTGGACAGAGCCTTTGCTCTAATATGGTATATTTCAAACAAATCTTTTAACAGAACAGGCGCCATTTTGCTAGTTCAAGAGAACTGAAAAAATCAAAATGCTTTTGATTTAATGTGTGGTAAACATTAATAGAAAAAGAAAGTGACTTATCTTGTTGTAATGACAATAGAGACAACGGAAGGTGGACAGAAATATGTTTGTCTAAAACTCTGAGCTAAGATTGCTGTAAAAAAGAAACAAGAAAAAATTTTAAAAGAAGATAAAAACGGAATTTAAAAAAAAGGATAGGGAAGAGAAGGAAGAAGAGGAAAAAGAAGAATATAAAGAAACAAAGTATATTTAAATATATATAAAGAAAATATATATAAACAAAATATATATAAAGAAATAAACAAAATATATATTTTTTTTTAAAATGAAGAAGAAGAAAGAGTTGAAGTGGTGGGGGAAGAAGAAAGAGATGTACAAAAAAATTGAAAAAGAAAAAATTTAAAACCGGGAAATAAATGTGGGAAAAGAAGGAGGGGGAGGAGGAACAAGAAGAAGAAAAAGGAGGAGGAGGAGGAAAAGGTGGAGGAGGAATAGGAGGAGGAAGCGGAATGAGGATGAAGGAGGATAGATGATGAGGAAGAGGAAGAATATGGAGGGAGGTAAGGAGAAGAAGAAGAGAGAGGAGGAGGAGGAAGAAGAAGAAGAAAGAGGAGGAGGAGAAAGAAGAAGAAGATGGAATAGTAGGAAGTAAGAAGAGGAGGAGGAGGAGGAGGAGGAAGAAGAAGGAGGAGGATGAAGAGGAGGAGAAGGAAGAAGGAGAAGTGGGAAGAAGAGGAAGAAGATAGAGTAGTAGTAGGAAGTGTATGAGGAGTAAGAAGATGAGGAGGAGGAAGAAAAAGGACACTATGTCATTTACTACCGACTGTTTCTTTTAGTCATGTCTCCGGTGTGTATATATATATATATATATATATATATATATATATATATATATATAGAGAGAGAGAGAGAGAGAGAGAGAGAGAAAGAGAAAGGGGAAGAAAGAGATGAATATACTAATATATTTGTTAAGTATGTATCTAACTAGATATAGACGTACTGAAATAGACCTTGGCAGATAGATAGATAGATAGATAGATAGATAGATAGATAGATAGAAATGAGCAGAATGTGAGATAGATAGATAGATAGATAGATAGATAGATAGATAGATAGATAGATAGATAGAAAACAAGAAACAGGAGATATATATGAGCAATCTGTAATAGATAGATAGATAGATAGATAGATAGATAGATAGATAGATAGATAGAAAACAAGAAACAGGAGATATCTATGAGCAATCTGTGATAGATAGATAGATAGATAGATAGATAGATAGATAGATAGATAGATAGATATGAGCAGAATGTGAGATAGATAGATAGATAGATAGATAGATAGATAGATAGATAGATAGATAGATAGAAAACAAGAAACAGGAGATATATATGAGCAATCTGTAATAGATAGATAGATAGATAGATAGATAGATAGATAGATAGATAGATAGATAGATAGAAAAAAAAAACAGGAGATATCTATGAGCAATCTGTGATAGATAGATAGATAGATAGATAGATAGATAGATAGATAGATAGATAGATAGATAGATATTAACAGCCTGATGATAGAAGTATGTAAATGTTTTAATGTCTCGAAAATCGAATCAGGAAAAGTAAGCCCCACAACAGCTGGAGGCGGCACTTTTGTGGCGGGAGATCTGTGGTTGACTGTAATAGGTCGGCCGGGCGCTGGCCATTTGACGCGGACACAAATCGACAATACCCGACTGTAACGTCTTATCACCTGTCATGCCATTAGGAGTCCTTCTTTTCACAGTCATCTCCAGTGGTTCATTCGAATCCGCAATGGACGATTTAAGGCTAAAGAGACAAACAAGGAACTGCCCGAGTGTTTCATTAACCGTCAGAATGTCATCCAGATCCATCATCCCGTCGCCACCAACCGCACCGGTCATGACAGTCTGACTTACGGTTGGATCCCTCTTGTTTCGTGCCGACATGTTGTTCCTTCGAGGCAAACGATTTATAGGGTGGACAATTTGGGGGCTGTAGAACAGGGGGTAACAGTGAGAAATAAAAACCTAGATTGACGCAAAGATTTAAGAACAGTTGGGAATTTGATGTCGTTTCATTTTCGAGTTTTAAATATTTCACCACAAGCAAAGGCAATAAAGCCACTAAGACGCAAGTTGCTACTGAGTGTGAAAGAATATGAGAAAAGAAGAAAAAACATTATTAAGAAGAGACAACAATAAAAGAACAAGAATTAAGAAAACAGAAAATAACATTGCATTTAAATTTTTGAAGATTAAAGGTAATAAAGCCACTAGGGCGCAAGGTGTTACTGAGTGTTAAAGAATATGAGAAAAACTACTATTAAGGAAAAAAGACAATAAAAGAACAAGAATTAATAAGACAGAAGATAACGATTGACACTGCATTTAAATTTTTGAAGATTAAAGGCAATAAAGCCACTAAGGCGCAAGAGGTTACTGAGTGTTAGAGAATATGAGAAAAACTACTATTAAGGAAAAAAGACAATAAAAGAACAAGAATTAATAAGACAGAAGATAACGATTGACACTGCATTTAAATTTTTGAAGATTAAAGGCAATAAAAAAGCACTAAGGCGCAAGAGGTTACTGAGTGTTAGAGAATATGAGAAAAACTACTATTAAGAAAAGAAGACAATAAAAGAACAAAAACTAAGAAGACAGAAGATAACGATTGACACTGCATTTAAATTTTTGAAGATTAAAGGCAATAAAGCCACTAGGACACAAGAAATTACTGAGTTAGAGAATATGAGAAAAACTACTATTAAGGAAAGAAGACAATAAAAGAACAAGAATTAAGAAAACAGAAGATACCGATTGACATTGCATTTACATTTTTGAAGATCAAGGGCAATAAAGCCACTAAGACGCAAGAGGTTACTGAGTGTTAGAGAATATGAGAAAAAAAACTACTATTAAGGAAAGAAGACAATAAAAGAACAAGAATTAAGAAGACAAAAGACAACGATTTATATTGCATTTAAATTTTTGAAGATCAAAGCTGACCGGGACGCAAGAAGCCGGAAGAGAGTTCCACAAGTAAGAAGTGCCATTGAAGAAACTGTTAGCATAGAACTTACGGTTACATCCTCCAAATCTATGATACGAGGCACACTCTACTATATTATAATTTCCCCAAGGTAGTTTTCATATAAAATATAATTTTAACACAATTATGCACAATAATGGATGATATGTAATATAGATGAACAATTCAACTAGAAAAAACGAAAATAAATGCAATGTATCAAAATGCAAATTAGAGACATGTCAGAATAGATCATTCCATTTTAAATAAATCAACAATTTTTTGCTGTAATTTTTAACATCGATTTGTTAAAAGTTGAAGAGTTTTAACACATTTAACGTTAGGAATAAAAAATAGTGAATTTTATATAGTGTTTTTGTTCAAGACTTGATATGAGCAAAACAAATTCACGGATTTTGCGCAAAAAAGACCCCAACATTACGTCAACATCAACAAAAAAATGTCGTCTTTTAATTGGTGTATTTAGTATAATTTGCTGACAAGTTCCTTAAAGTAGGTAGAAGGGATAGCTAATCTTTTTAAAAAATGAATTCATCCCAAACAAGGACCATAAAAATTACCACTAAGCCTCAAGAAACATTACAATTAAGGTATGTTATATTCATCCTTTCATTTTTTTTATAAAGCTTGAGAACAATATAAGAGTAATTTAGGGGGACAAAGATTGCGATTGATGTTTATTTAACATTTTTGTATATTATTGTGTTGACCGGAAATGTAAAAAAAACAAAACAAAAACAAACAAAAAAAAACGGAAGAGATTTCGTCCTCCCTTTAAAAAGTTAAACTGTTGGTATATCAAACTATACTAATTGCCTAATATTATAATTTGTAAAACTATGAGACCTTGCCGCCAATCTTTACTGCGCTAGAAATTCCTCATCCTTGTCATTTTTTATTACCAAAATTTATTTTTTTTAATCTCCAAAATTCTTTCTCTGATAGCTAAAAAAGTTATTTTTAAGGGAACTTCGTCTTTTAAGTCCGTTCTATAATTAAACTTGGCCACATACAGCAGAATTCCTTACCTTCCGGGAACAACACATTCTTACTTATATTCTTAGATGACCTCCCAGCCATACCTCAGGAGTCTCTACAAAGTCCTGAACTCAGTCCCCATAGCTCTGACATTTGCCTGTCATTGACCAAGTTATAAAAAGAACTCAAAAATGAAAAAAAATGAATTTTTACAAAATATTAAACATTTTATATACAAAAAAAATTAAACAAAATAGTGTTAAATAAAATATCCACACAAGAAGGAATAACCATCAGAACAAAACACCCAACCCTACAGAGTCGCTATTTGAAGATCAGAAGATTTAAAACATTTTTTACTGCCAGAGGAAGAGTATCAATCCATAAGCCTCTATATGTCTGCCAGTGGTGACAAACTGAATGAAACATCATCAGGAATCCGAAACATGGTCAAATAGTGGTAAATTCTGTTTAATGTCTTCCCATTCTTTGTGGCAGACAAATATTACATAATGTACCTAAATCATTTAAATATTCTGTAAATCATTTATGGAGGTCAAGATTCCTGAATTCAGTTGTTTTCCATCCAGTGGTCGAATATCAAACAATGAAGGTTCAAATGATACTGGTGTTTCTTTTGTATAAAAATGATCCTGAATAAAAACATCTGCATGTCTTTATTAAGTATACCAAAAATATGAATTAAAATAAAATTTGCAAAAATAGAAATTATAATATGATTAAATGGAGAATGGATCCGGCGAAACGTTCAAATAAAAACAACAAAGATAAAGTTGTTTATCTGATTCATTTATATCCTTAATTCAGTCAATGTCCCGGGGAGTACTGTGTCTGGATTAATTTCCTGATTACACAAAAACAAAGAAATGCTGGTCCAAAATTCAATCAATGTATAAAATCAGCCTCATGTGTCATTCTGGCATTTATTACATAATTTTCTTTTTATTCTTCGACGAATGTGACCAAATTCATCCATTATTTATCCAAAATAAAAAAAAAAAAATCTTTTGTTATTGGTCTTTTCTGGCATCTCGGCCAAGACAAAACCCCGCCGCCTGAAACTCATTAATGATAAGCATTTTTTCTTTTATTATTCTTCTGAGGCTCATTTCTACCGTATTCCTGTTCTTTAAAATAATAAACTTAAAAAAACGTTCCAAAATAAGCCAAATTAAAATATTAAAAATAATTAAACATCAAAGAAGACAATTCAAATGAAAATCATTATCAACAAAAACGATTTTTAAAATATTCAAAATATGACCAAAATGTCGACTTATTACAATTTATACAGCATGCCATTCACATGAAAGTGTATATGTATTTTTGTTGATAATTGCTGCTATGGTTATTATCTGAAAGTTCATATAAAAAAAAATGTGATATTAGTAATAAATCATTACAATAAAAACCTTAGAAAGAACAAAATGCATCAGATGTAATCAAACCATAAATTTCCCCCGTATTCCATTGGTGATTATTATTAATTTTTAACAAGTCTTTTTTTACAATGTTCCTCTTATTTTTTATTGCAAATTTCAGGTCATCACTACCCTCAAACCTGTTTCACCTGTGGGTTAACCGTTTTATTTCCATTCTATACACACATAATCTGAGAATAAAATATTTAGAAATGAGAAAATCTCAAGATCATGCATACACAATCTTGTGACTAAATGATTAAAACATTTGTTTTGTGACCATTCTTGGAACATTTTTAAGCAAATGTAAATATAATAAGGATATTTAATAACAAGATTGATGGAAATCCTAAAACAAATGATGAAATCTAACATAGTGACAGATTCCACATTATATACCAAAAACATATGAATTGGATTAAAAAAACTCATTTAATTTTAAAAAATTTGTCCCATTTTCCTTCGTACGCATTTCTGCAGATGATTGTAACGTTTGCATAAAATCATAAATCCACTGCTCAAATCCTCTGGGCAAAACTGATTCACACAAAACTTTTTCTTGCTCAACTGCATTCTGAAAACATATATATATATATATATATATATATATATAAATATATATATATATATGTGTGTGTGGTGGTTATCTAGGCTGCATCAGGTATTTATATAAATATAAATAAATATATATATGTATAATAATTTATTTATTATATAGAAAATATATTTTACAGAATTTAGTATAAATGTCTGATATATATATATATATATATATAGGCTCACAAACTCACATCTATCCAATCAAATATATATATATATATATATATATATATATATATGTAAATGTCTGCATTTTAATAAAATTAATCCATTTTCATATTTGACATCCTCATTTAAAAAACTGTTGTCTGTTAACCATCTATATATATTTTAAAAATATTTTTTATTTAAAATTATTTTATATCACATCATCAGGAAATCTTCTATGTTTCGGAAAATCAAAAAAACTTTATTCCATTATTGTTTTGAACTCAAAAGGGATCCTCTACAAAACAACACGTGAAACTTTAGTTGCTCACCGTAACGAGACTAACCACAATTTTGACATAAAAAATGCTCATCTAATTAAAACAGAAAACAATTCACTAAGACGAAAATGTTTCGAAAGTGCTTTAATCACAAGATCATCAACAGTAAACTTGCGTCAAGGTTCTTACAACGTCTCACTATTCTTGGCAGATCTTCTGGCATCACAAGGTGGGATATTTATTAACAAAAGGGATGGAAACAAAAACAAAAAGAGAAAGAATCTAAATGCAATCGGCTTGATTATACACCCCCAAAAAACATTTTAATTAAAAACAAAATTATTTTTTAATTTAAAATTTCCAGCAGTCATTTCCAGCATGTGTAGTCGCGCATGTGTACTCACATCAACGTAAGCGTAAACTCAGTCTGATGACGTCTAAAAGGAG